AGGACATATTCGAAGCACGGTGACCATGAAACATTAACAAGAGTCAAGGGACATCAGGCTAACACACACAATCAAACGAAGGAGCATGCTAAACACATAGAATCAGAGTAAAGAGGATTAGTCTAACACACATAGTCAAGGCAAAGAGTCATGCCAACACCCATGATCAAACGAGTAAACAATTAAAACAGTAAGAGCATAGAAATAGGTCAGAACAAACAAAGAAAAGATTTAATCATAAAGAAAATCAGTTGAGAGCATGCGTAAAAGAAATCCAAGAAACCCTAATTTTCAAAGAAAGTAAAAAAAAAATGATTCAAAGTAGAAGCTCTTTTAGAATAAACTCGAGAATAAGCAGAACACAGAAGAAAACATGAGAATGGCATGGGAATAGCACTGTTTTGAGAGATTCATGAGAGAGTTAGGGTTTCAAAAGGGGAAACCCTAATAAAAGTTGAGAGAACCTATCGAAACTTCATAGATCGTGACATATAGGGTGTGATTTCGCCTGAAATCACACCGGAGAACCCACGAGTAGCAGGGCCAGGAACCCTAGGTCTCAAATCACCTTGGTCCATAAACCTCGAAGGTCCTAGAAGTGTTGAACAGGACGGTGAGAGGCCCATCGGAGCCTTGGGGTTGAAGGGAGGTGGCCGGAGATGGCCGAAAACAAACCAGGCTGAACTTTTAGGGATTGATTCGCATGGTGGGGGTTTTGGGGTCTCAAAAATAGAGGGAACCAGTTATCTAGGGTTTCATGGCGGTTGATGGTCGAATGGGGTGAGATTGGAGGTGGCCGGAGAGGCGGTGGAGTTCATCGGAGAAGACAGAACCAGAAGGTTCTAGAGAGAAGGGAGAGGGAGAGACGATATAGAGAGAGAGAGAGAGACGGTCTCAAAGAAATGAGGGGTTTGGGGGGGTAGTTGATTTTAATTATGGGAATTAAATCTGGGCCGTTGATCTCATTTGATCAACGGCTCAGATTAAAAAAAGATGGATCGGGTTATTTTGGGGATTGGGCTGGGTTGGTTTAAATAGGGTATTGGGCCATTTAAAAATCTGATAGGGGTGTGGCCAATTTGGCTATAATTGAAATAATAAGGGCTGTTTGTTAAATAGCCAACTTTCCCTTTTGTTATTTTATGAAAATAGTAAAAATGATTTGAAAATAAATTAAAGGTACTGGGCTAATTAATAACATATAAATATTAATGTAAAAATACTAAAAGTGATTTTATAATTATAAAATACTGTTAATTGTAAAGTAGGCTATAATTGTAATTATATGCAATTTAGCTTTAAATAAATACCAAATGAATTTGTAAAAATACATAAAAATTACCTTTACTATATTTAGTATAAATATGAATTTGTAAAAATACATAAAAATTACCTTTGCTATTTTGAAAGTAAAATATACAGGGAAAAATTGGGTATCAACAACCTTTTCTCCCCATCCACAATCTCTCCTAACTGCCTCGAGGTGTTCCTCTCCTATCGATGAGATGAACCTCGATGCATGCACCCGATGGCCCTGAACATTGGGAGGCCTCTCTAACGTAAAATCCCTCCTCGAGACAAAGCATCTCGAGGTTAGCTCACCTGACGCCGGCGGTGTACCACCGACCGAACAGGGAGCAGAGGTGGAACCCTCCTCTTCTTGATGAATGGATTTGGGCGTAGTAGCCATAGCTGTGGAAAAACGAGAGAAGGGAAGTGAAAACTTGGGCGAAGCCCTTGAATTAAAATGGTGAAAGAACTGGCGCAGGGAAGGAGAGCTCTATAAGAAGGATAGCTTCTCAAAGTGGTGGAATCTTCAAATAAGAAGAAAGCAAAAACATATATAGAGCAAGTGACGACTGTTGCCTATTCTGAAGGCCAATTAATCCTGACCATGCCATTACAACTTTTGGGGAAGCGAACCGGTGGGACCACCCCGGTCGCTTTACGATCATGTCATATGAATGGCACCATCATACAGCGACCGATGGCTATCGAGATCCCCACACCATTATAGCCTCGAGATGGTGCCCGATCTCGAGGATCTCTGATACCACTAGCATCGGTTCTTTACGCATTGTTTATCCGTGTTTCGAGGTATTGGGTTGGTTGGATTGAATCCGGAATGGTTTTTGTGAAGTTTGAGACACTTAGTCTCTTTTAAGAAGGTTTGAGTTGGAAAAGTCAACCGGACTTTGACTTATGTGTTAGAGGGCTCGGATGTGAGTTCCGATGGTTCGGTTAGCTTCGGGAGGTGATTTATGACTTAAGAGTGTGATCGGAATGGGTTTTGGAGGTCCGGAGTAGAATTAGGTTTGAATTGGCAAAGTTGAGTTTTTGGCGATTTTCGGTTGGAAGGTGAGATTTTGATCCAGGGGTCGGAATGGAATTCCGAGAGTTGCAGTAGCTTCGTTATGTCATTTGGGATGTGTTTGTAAAATTTCAGGTCATTCGGACGTGGTTTGGTTGGGTTTTTGATCGAAAACGTATTTCAAAAGATTTTTAGGAACTTAGGCTTGAATTCGATGTGATTTGGTAGAATTGATGTTGTTTGAGGTGTTATGATGATTGGAACAAGTTTGAGTAAGGTTTTAGGATGTGTTGGTGCTTTTGGTTGAGGTCCCGGGGGCCTCGGGGTGATTTCGGGTGGTCAACGGAGAAAATTGGATTGTGTTGCAGCTGCTGAAGCTGCTGTTTCTGATATTTTCGCACCTGCGGTTTGGGGGCCGCAGGTGCGGCGCCACATGTGCGAGGGGAGGACCACAGAAGCGGTTTTGGAAGCGGGTGCCTGGGACCGCAGATGCGGTAGGGGTCCCGCACTTGCGGAGTCGCAGATGCGACAAGAAGACCGCAGATGCGGTTTGGGCTGTTTAATGAATTTCCGCAGAAGCGGATGAAGTGACCGCATATGCGGTACCACAGAAGCGGATTTTGGACCGCAAATGCAGAAATACCTGGGCAGAAGGTATATATTTCATACTTCGCGATTTTTGAAGGGTTTAACCATTTTTGAACTCGGAATTGGGAGCTTTGGGCGATTTTGAAGAGATAAATCAAAGAGGCTTCGTTGAGGTAAGGATTTTGGACTTAAAACATATTTCTATGGTAAAATATCATGAATTAAGGCTGAAATTAGAAGGATTAAAGGGCTAAAAATGGAGGTTTAGGGCTTGAGTTTAAGAGGCCTTTAATGGGGGATTTGAGGGGTCATTTGGACTCCGATTTTGGTGTTCTTTATATGCATAGACTCGTGGGGAGATAAGGAACCCGTTGATGTAAAAATTTCTGAGTTTCAAGAAGTGAACCTGGGGCTCGGGTTTTGCTAATTTCGGGATTTTTGGTATTTTTCGATTGTTATCGCTTGGGCTTTGTTCCCTTAGCATATTATGATGTATTCGTTCTGATTTTGGATAGATTCGACGCACGTGGAGGCCAATTCGAAGGGCAAAGGCGTCGCGAGCTAGGGATTTAGCCGGTTCGAGGTGAGTAGTGCTTGTAAATGATGTTCTGAGGGTTTGAAACCCCGGATTGCACATCGTGGTGCTATGTTGAGGTGAGACACAGGCTTGTTGGCGAGCGTGGGGTCATACACTATTGGGGATTGTGACTTGGTTCGTCCCGGTTAATGATTTTACCGCGTATTTGACTAAAACTTATTTGTTATCACTATGATTTGGGATGAATGCCATATTTGTGCTTCGTGCCAATTATTTGAACCCTTCGGGGCTTTTTCTTGATATTTCCTCACTGTTTTGAATTACTACTTGAACTCAGTCATGTATTTTCCACTGTTTTACTACTCAGCCGGTTTTTACTCAGTTTTGAGACTTAATGATATTTTAAATGATGTTTTGGGCTGAGACACACTGTTTTACTATTGCCCGAGGGGCTTGTGAGTATTTTTGACTGAGTAAGGCCGATGGCCTATCTTGTGAGGAGACATTGATACTGATTTGAGGCCGAGGGCCTGAGATATGTACGCCACGAGGTGGCTTGATTGATATGAGGTCGAGGGCCTAGTTGTGATGCCACGAGATGGTTTGTTATTGCGCTTGGGCCGTAAGGGGCCCCTCCCGGAGTCTACACACCCCCAGTGAGCGCGGCTACCCAGTGTGATGTGAGATTGAGCCCGAGGGGCTGTTATTATTCTGAGATGTTGCCCGAGGGGCTGTTATTGTTCTGAGATGTTGCCCGAGGGGCGGATATGGTGATACTGTGCCCGAGGGGCGAGCTTTTATTTATTTACCGTACCTTAATTATCTGTCATTTACCTGTTTACTTGTTGAAAGAGGATTTTACTGGATTTTCACTGGTTTTACTGCTTTTAAATGATTTTACTGCTTCATCATAGAATGCTTTGTGCCTTGCGTGATTTCTTACTTTCAGCCATTATTTACATTTATTACTCACTGAGTTGGAGTACTCACTTTACTCCCTGCACCCTGTGTGCAGATTCAGGCATAGCTGGTTCCGCTCCGGAGTGTTGATTTCCTCCAGTTCCAGGCGGGCTTCTTCGGAGATTACGAGGTAGATGTTGACGTCCGCAGCCCCGTGTCTCTATTTCTCTATCTTTCCTGTTCTTTCCAAACAAATGTAGTAGTTTATGACTTTAGCAGACTGTATTGTGGTTCATAGATGCTCGTGACTTGTGACATCCCGGTTAGGGCTGTTTCGGGTTGGATTTTATTTTCGCTATTCAGTGTTAGTAACTCATGTTTTAAACTATTATGTGTTGGTTAACGGTTTTAAAAGATGAATTGGGTTGAACTGGATGGCCTTGTCTTCACGAGAGGCGCCATCACGACCAGGTTCGGGGTTAGGGTCGTGACACTATTGGACAATGTCTTAGCGAAATAAGGGGTCAAACATAATGTTGCGACCGCCTAGCATCCTCAGACTAGTGGAGAAGTTAAAGTGTCAAATAGAGAGATAAAGCAGAAACTGGAGAAGATGATTAGTGCAAGTAGAAAAGATTGGGCCGCAAAGCTTGATGATGCTCTATGGGGACCGCCTACAAAACTCCAATCGGAGCCTCCCCTTACAAGCTGGTTTATAGGAAGGCATTCCATTTACTGGTGGAACTTGAGCACAAGGCCTACTGGGCGATAAAGAAGCTAAACTTTGATGCAGAATTAGCGCGTGAAAAACGGTTGATGCAATTGAACTATCTTGTTGTGTTTCTCTTGCACGCGTATGAGAATGCCAAGTTATATAAAGAAAAGACCAAGCGCTGGCATGATAAGAGTATCTACAATCGCGAGTTCGAACCGAACCAATTGGTTATATTGTTCAATTCGAGGTTGAGACTCTTTCCGGGGAAGCTCAAATCAAAATGGTCAGGCCCGTTTGAGGTAGTAAGAGTCAGTCCACATGGTGCAACTGAGCTGCGCATCTTAGGTGGCGAGAGATCGTTCTTAGTGACGGACAAAGAGTAAAGCACTATTATGGAGGTGACTTTGATTGTCATAAGTCGAAGGTGTTACTTGCCAATGATTAGACGAGATTCTGCGTCATGCCACGACGTTAAATTAGGCGCTTGTTGGGAGGCGACCCAACTTTACTGCTTTCTTTTGTTTTTATTTTTATTATATTATTTTTGTAGTATCTATTTTATTTTATAGAATTATATGCATAGGAAGCAAAGCCATTGGAAGAGTGCAAAAGCGAGCTAGATAGTGAGAACTAAGTGTGGGGTGCCTACACAAAGGATCATGCCTGGGGGAAGTCTTAGTACCTCGTAAGCCGTGATTGTTTTGGCCTTTGGCCTTTCAGGGAGTTTTCTTGTCCACCCTCATTATTGTTTTGCTTTATTTGTGCATTGGGGACACTGCACTCCTTTAAGTGGGGGGTGGGAGAATTCCTCTAGATAATTAGTAGTAGTATGCTAGAAAAATGTTAACCGCTTATTTTAATTTTAGCTTCTTATTTTTGTTTTCGTAGTTGTGTAGTATTTTAGTAGCTACTATTTTTTCTTAAAATGTGGAAAATAAAAAAATCAAAAAAAAAGTAGAAAAATTGGACTTCTCCCGACGATGGATCTCCTAGACAGTTTTCTTGAGGGATTAAAGTCTAAACAAAAATCAAAAAATATGTCTTTTAGTTTCCTTTAGGTAGTAAAAATCCTCCGTGGTTTTTCTTTGTGCCTCGGTTCTTTTCCATGGGATGTAGTTTGAACCAGGTAGTAATTTTTTTTTTGAGTAGGGTAGTATTTAGGAAAAAATGGAGGAAAGATGAGATTTATAGACACTTTTGACTTATATGATAGTAGCATATTTAGGCTTTGGCATGTTTAGTATCTTCCCTATGTGCTAAAATTACTTATGGTGCCTTTGTTATTTGAATTGTATGTCTTGTGATGCCTATGTCTCATTTTCTTGACTTATGTTCACTTTGTGGTTAATGCTTAATATCTTGTGGCTCTGTGAATACTTGCATTATTTTGAGAGTCGGAATGAGACCGTCCTTAGTGAGTCATGTGCTATGTGTGAAGTGAGATTTTTGTATAGACCATGTCATTGTACTTGTGTCTAGACTTGCCCGGTATGTGAGTCGAAGCGCAATTTTACGTGAGGCTCGGTTTGAAAAATAATTTTAGGTTGTCTTTGTTCTTTTTGAGTTTAATGCTTATCACAAATAAAATCTATCCCTAATTAACCATTTTGAGCCTATAGAATTTTATTTGGCACCCACATTACAAGCCCATATCCCTTTTTGTTTGTAATTGACATTGTTTTGAGCCTTTTACCTCTTAAAGCACTTTAATTGTGAAATAAGCGCTAAAAGAAGTAAGGAGGGAATTTGGGTGGCTTTCGAGTGGAACCAATGAAAGGAAGAAAGGTGCACTTGTTTTGTAAAAGAACACACCACTAGCAAAAATTGTAAAGAAAAAAAAAGAAAAATCTAGAAAAAGAGAAGGAAAAATTTAGATGAATAAATTGATATCTTTTTCTTGCTAGTGGGCATGAATTAAAGTAGTGCCTAAATAAAGATGGAACGTTGTTAGGGATGATTTTAGTTGTGAAATTAAAATTGGTATTGAAGAATTTGCGCTTACAGTTGATTATGTGATGTGTTAAAGTGCTTAGAAGGGTTAGCCACTATTCCTAAATATATCCTTCCCGTCCTTAGCCCACATAACAATCATGAAAAAGTCCTAATTGATTTTAGTTCGAGTGAGCTACATTAGTAGAGATTTACATTAAGGGCAAGCTTATAACACCAATTGCATGCATGTGACTTCTTTTGTGAGAGTGAGTAATATTCTTTGATATATATGAGTCCTATATATATATATATATATATATATATATATATATATATATATATATATATATATATTTGAGCATTTGATTTAAGTGTGTGGATTCAACTTACACTTTTGTTCTTGTTCTGAGGGCACATGGTTTCATGAGGGATAGGTAACGTTATTAGACTACTCTAGGATGTTGGGTGATGTTCTTAACGTCAATACCACACAAGAAGAGGGGGGAGGGGGTGATTTGTGTGGTACGCAATTTTCGCTTTAGAAGAACCTGGTTCTTCTAGGTGTACTTACTACTACTGTTTGCGGAATTAAGAGTACATAAAATAAAGAACACAAAGATTTTTACGTGAAAAA